GGGGAGGGGCGAGGTCGTGGTTAGAACGCTTGGTTGAGTGAGTGCATCAGACAAGACGACGACGAAGAAGCAGTGCTGCTGTAGCCTCAAGTTTTCGCAAGTTATTACACATGCACCTGAATAATTATGTATGTAAATATGTATGTTACAATTATGAAAACTTTTTTATAATAAATTGCTGACAGTACAATACTGGTGTTTCCCATACATTGAGTGCGGGTGTTTTTATATCACTGTACTTCTAAAGGAAACGACTGTCTTCAGAAAATTGGATGCCATTTTCATGTAATCTTGCACGTAATGTCTGATAAAGCAGTGTTTTTTTGAGCGGAGCGCTGCTTTGTGTACAGCCGTTCCCGGGAAAACCTTGATCTCTACCACTCCAACAGCGCCTCCTGCTGGCAGAGAATGAGTTTGCATATATATGCAGCCTGGGAAACACTGGACTATGGTATAAATAAATTCAACTGAATAACAGTTTCACTGCAATTCATGTTATAATATTAGAATTAAATAACAATAACAAATAATACATATGCACTTATCTGTACATAGGATGTCAACAACTGCTTAAAAATAACTGCATTTACTATCTAAAACGTGATTTAGCCAAAAAAACAACAACAACAACAACGTTACCACTCTAATATGTCTTGCAATATCCGTGCGTGCAAAGGTTCTGCGCGATCCTCTTGTTCAATATTCTCTTGGTCTGAATCCGGCTCAAATTGATATGGCAATATTGACGCCAATCACAATGCACTGGGGCAGCTAACCAATCACATCACATTTAGTTTTTCGGAAGGTGGGCGTTCATCAAACCCGGAACTAATCAAGCCGTTTGTGCCAGACTGGGGAGAAAGGTATTGTAATAGTGTAAATTATGTAAAAAATAAAGTGTTTTTCAAGCCACCGAGCATGAGAGCATGTTCTAGTACACCCCCAAAACTAATTCAAGACATTGTAAAAGAGCATAATAGGACCCCTTTAAATGAAATAAAAGAAAATATTTTTAAATGATTTCAGCTAGTTGCCAAGGCAATATTTCTCATTTTTATTTAGTTTAACTTGATGCACTAAACTAATAAATCAAAAAATGAATTAATAAAAATTATATTGACCAAAAAAAAACGACTAAAAAATGAGAAAAACAAATAACCAAATTACTAAAACGATTACTAAACTTAAAATGAAAAATATAAAAATCAAACCTGACTCAATAGTATCTCAATGATACTAAAATGCCACTGCATCAAAGAATTATGGAAAAAAAGTAAATTTTTCCACAAAAAATATGAAGCAGTACAACTGTTTTCAACATTAATAATAATAGAATGATTTCTGAAGGATCGTGTGACACTTAAGACTGGAGTAATGATGCTGAAAATTCAGCTTTATATCACAGGAATAAATTAAAAATTTTAATATATTTAAATAGAAAACACTTATTTTAAATTAAAATAATATTTCACAATATTACTGTTTTACTGTATTTTTTATCAAATAAATGTGAGCATAAGAGACTTCTTCAAACAACATTTAAACAACAACCCAGTTTTACATGGAAAGCTGACCAGATCCTGGCTAAAAAAACATCAGTTTGGAGGGAAAAAATGTTTTATGGTGTTATTTTGGTGTTGACCAAAGGATGAGCTCCTTCAGCTGATTCTTGGCACGTCCTTCTACTTTTGGGGATTTTATAATTGCCACTTCTGCCCAGGACTCACTCACTGAGAGTATTACCACACTGCTCTGTGTAAAGTTGCTTTGGAACAGTTTATATTGTGAAGAATGCGGTTAAAACACTACACAATCTAATCAAATGTTATTGCTGCAGCCTTACAGTGAACAACTGTGGGTTTTAAAAGAGATAAAGGTTGTGCAGTATGTTCAAACATGAAGAAAGGGTGAGTTTGTATGTTGATATATACAGTAGATGTTGTTTACTGCCTCGTGCCTCCTATAGAGAGCACACAGACGCCCCCGCTGGGCCGCGAGGCTCTGGAATATTCCATAAGCGTGACTGCTCTACCTTTCCATTTGCTCACCGAGAGACAGAAGCCACAGTCATGCTGGGAAATCTCCACGGAGAGTCGCTTTTATCCGGAATGATCTGGAATTATCCCCTTAGGGTTCGTAATGCCTGGCACACAGCAACTTCCTGGCTGTCAGTTTTCACTGCCTGCGTTCTGCCACAGCCAGGGAAGGATGGACACCTTCAGTCTGGAATTTAATTAAGACCTCGCTGAACACATCCTGCTGTGCTGGCAAATTCATGCCAGAACAAAAAAATCGAATGCAAGCACAGACAAAATAAAGAACAACTTGACCTACTTCCATTGATCGCTGAAAGGATGAGTCTGTAGTTTAACCTTCCGTACTCAAGTTTTGATTCTGTGAATGTCAAGCCAGAATTCTGACTATCCGTCCGTCCGTCCGCGCCCCCCTGCCTGCCTGTCTATCTATCTATCTGTCTATCTGTCTGTCTATCTATCCAACTGTCCATCCGTCTGCCTGTCCGTCCATCTGTCTGTCTGTCTGTCTGTCTGTCTATCTATCTATCTGTCTGTCTGTCTATCCAACTGTCCATCCGTCTGCCTGTCCGTCCGTCCGTCTATCTATCTATCTATCTATCTATC